GTAGTTTTATTAAACAAAGTTACATGTGTATAGTTTTATTAAACAAAGTTACATGTGTATAGTTTTATTAAACAAAGTTACATGTGTATAGTTTTATTAAACAAAGTTACGTATGTGTAGTTTTATTAAACAAAGTTACATGTGTATAGTTTTATTAAACAAAGTTACATATGTGTAGTTTTATTAAACAAAGTTACGTATGTGTAGTTTTATTAAACAAAGTTACATGTGTATAGTTTTATTAAACAAAGTTATGTACGTGTAGTTTTATTAAACAAAGTTACGTACGTGTAGTTTTATTAAACAAAGTTACGTATGTGTAGTTTTATTAAACAAAGTTACGTATGTGTAGTTTTATTAAACAAAGTTACGTATGTGTAGTTTTATTAAACAAAGTTACGTATGTGTAGTTTTATTAAATAAATTTATGTTTACGTGAGTTTGTTTGTTTGACCTCAACATTTTTTCAAATGGACCAGGATTTATCAATCTAACACGTAATGCCTGCAAGAAAGCACAGTAAATGGCGTGTGTGAAAATGATAGAATAAGTAAAAATTCAAGTGAAGGGCATGAAAACTACTGCAAATGTTTTGCAGGTCATGGATAGTTATAACAGAATGTATAAACAATGAACCAATAACAACCAAATCTAACAGAATATATTAAACAATGAACCAATAACAACCAATTCTAACAGAATATATTAAACAAAGAACCAATAACAGCCAATTCTAATAGAATATATTAAACAATGAACCAATAACAACCAATTCTAACAGAATATATTAAACAATGAACAAATAACAACCAATTCTAACAGAATATATTAAACAATGAACCAATAACAACCAATTCTAACAGAATATATTAAACAATAAACCAATAACAGCCAATTCTAACAGAATATATTAAACAATAAACTAATAACAACCAATTGTAACAGAATATATTAAACAATGAACCAATAACAACCAATTTTAACAGAATATATATAAAACAATGAATCAATAGTGTAAATATATAATAATGTAGAAATAACAGGCAATACTACTGAAATATATTTAACACTGAGACAATAACAACAAATACCTCAAAAAGATATATAAATATAAAAAAAAACTAAACAGCAAAAAAATATGTAACAGGAATTAAACAGTCAATGTTGTGATAATTCTAGAAATATTGTAGGTTTTCTTCACAGCATAAAGTGTTTAAAAAGTCAAACTTACACGTGTAAAAAAACAAATAAAATACAACTTCAGTTTAATCCTTACTCAAGATTGTAGAGAAGATACTAATTTAATATATTTTAAGTTTGCTTGTATAACTTAATAATAATTTTTTAATCTTTAGTAACAGAATCTGAAAATGCTAATTCCATCAAAAGTGGTACAATATAAACATAATGTTTGTGACATCAAATTACTTAACAAACTGTACAGTTAATTCTGTGGTTTTATCTGGAATAAATACAGTTAGATATTTACACAGTGTTTTCTTTAGAGGGGCAGGGTATATCAGTCATGAGTGATTTTATCTGAAGGGAGGAAGTTACAATTGATTCTTTTTTGGGGTTAATATAGTTGGGTATTCAGGGTTAATATAGTTGGGTATTCAGGGTTAATATAGTTGGATATTCAGGGTTAATATAGTTGGATATTCAGGGTTAATATAGTTGGGTATTCAGGGTTAATATAGTTGGGTATTCAGGGTTAATATAGTTAGGTATTCAGGGTTAATATAGTTGGCTATTCACTAATTTCATTTTGGGGAGGGAATTTATTTTAGATCATGAAAGTTAACAAAACAATCAGATAAAACATTTATCCTAACAGAATGCTAGAACCGTTACAAAATGCCTCACCTCTGCAGTCAACACCAGTTCCCAAAGTAATTGTACGTGGGATAATACAGGCAACAAACACCTGCAAAGTCAAACATTACAAAGAAACGAGTAAAAAAATACCATCACATTATTTCACACATATCATCATTTCGTCAATAACTGAAACTCGCACTGGTTTTTAGATCTTAACAACCACGAATTTATGCTTATTGTCAAGTGTTTACATGAAAGACTTTATACTAAAAATCAATCTATCGATTCATTTACATAGGGCTTGGTTTTAACATTTACTGGACAGAGATCAAAACCAGAATTATTATTTTAAAATACAAAATGCTTAACTGTTTGTAAAAAATGATAATTTTAAGAATTATTAAAATACACAGTTCAGATAAACAGGGATCAAACCGTGCTCTAAGCCAATTATTTTTAGTTTTTACAAAAACTTTCACTGTTTCATAACATCAACAAAAACATTTAATTCTGAAAATTTAATTCAACATAAACTCATACTGATAGGTTGTTTTTTTTTAAATAGTTTTACAGCTGAGTAACACATAAAAGAAATTGTATACAACAAAAAACTAAAAACTTTAATGTTTCTTACCTGAAAATATCTGTTTCATTAACAGAAGGGACTATAACTGGAGCTAAGACTGCTGGCTGAGTAAAAGAAAATTGTACGTGAACCATGGAATAGTTATAAAACTCTGTCATATAGCACCAGTAAGTACAACAGCAGTAAAATGTGTACACAAGAATTAAAGTCTAACACATAATCCCCATCATGAAAGATACTGAGTACGGGAATAGATAATCCCCCTAATGAAAGATATTAAATAACAACATAGATAATCCCCCTAATGAAAGATGTTAAATAACAACATAGATAATCCCCATATAAGCTTTGTTATGAAAGATATTAAGTATAAAACAAGTAAAGCCTGAAAACTATAGAAAAAATTAAGCTATTATAAAGAAAAGGACTGCAATGACTTACTGAGTATCTCGTTTAACTATGATACATCTACGTTATATGGTACACCTACGTTATATGGTACACCTACGTTATATGGTACATCTACGTTATATGGTACATCTACGTTATATGGTACATCTACGT